TCTCTCTTGCTCTGTTGTTATGAATGAATGAATGAATCAATCCAATAAATGAATCAATCGACCAATCAATCAATCGGTAGATCAATCAACAATAAACCAATGAGTGAGTTAATGAATCACACGGCCTTTAATTAAAGATTATCAATACTATAAATGAAATATTTGTATCATAGTTTCTAAAAAAGTTAAAATTATTTCTAATAATTGTGGCAAATATTTTTTTTTCGAAAGCTTAATAAAGTTAGCGGCCAGAGTTCTTTTATAACGGGTTTTCCTTTACTTATTTTTACATTCCAATTCACAAATGACAAAATTTAGCGCCTATTACCAACACAATAAATACCACCATCAAATCCAAATTTAAAACATTAGTCATAAAATAAATATTTATTTATTTTATGATAAAAGTCATCAAATTTTAACATAGAGTCTTCAATGCGAAATTAGTTACTTCAATTTACGTTGAATTTCTTATAAGGGTTTTGAGATGTCATATTCATAAAACCTTGTTTTTAAAAAATGTCGTCATTACAACAAGCTGTCATCATAAAATTACTACATGTTGAAATTAAAAAGGGGTGCTTATTTATTATCCATCCTGCGACAAAAAACGTCCAATAAATGCCAATAATCCACGCCACTTGATGGTTTGTCAGTTTGTTCATCTTGCAGAAATTGTTGAAACCTTTCTAGAATATTTTCACTATTTAAATTTGCACTAGCGTTAAATCGGGTGGGTTGGACATCATCAGTCTTATTTATAATGTTGTTATTATTGACAGGGAGAGGATTAAAATCAGAGAAAGCAGAACATTTGGGGGAAAACGTAGAAGATAGTGAGCTTGGATTATCATTTGTACAAGAATGGTGCGGATAAGGTGATTTTAAGGCCACACAATCGTTATTCTTATTATCTTGGTTTTGTAGATGTTGGACCATAAAATGAGACGAAGTGGAATGTGAATTAAAAAACGTAGAAGATAGCGAGCTTGGATTATTGTTTGTGTAAGAAAAAGAAGAATGGTGCGGATAAGGTAATTTTAAGGCCACACTATCGTTATTCTTATTGTCTTGATTTTGTAGATGTTGACCCATAAAATGAGACGAAGTAGAATGTGAATTAAAAAACGTAGAAGATGGTGAGCTTGGATTATTATTTGTACAAGAAAAAGAAGAATGGTGCGGATAAGGTAATTTTAAGGCCACATCATCGTTATTCTTATTGTCTTGATTTTGTAGATGTTGATCCATAAAATGAGACGAAGTAGATTGTGAATTAAAAAACGTAGAAGATGTTGAGCTTGGACTATTATTTGCGTAAGGAAAAGGAGTGTATGGAGAATGTGATGAAACTGAGACTGCACAATCGTTATTATAAGAAATTTTTTTTTGTGGTTGTTGTACTGGTTGTTGTGTAATGAAAATATAGTCATTTGGTAATGGATTGTTGCATTTACTGTAATAGATTGATTTATGTTTTTCAAAAGCTAGTTTTGCCAACACTTTAAAGTAACTTCTTACTTTGTTCGATTCATTTTTCCAGGAACCACCAGTTTCCTTTGAAAGAGTTTCCCAATCCTTTTTACTCCCAAGTGATTTATGTTTTACAACATTGTTTTTACGGTATAATATATAAGGGTTTTGAGGTTTTGGGGTACCTAAATGATTGATATTATTAGGATTAGGCGAAATAAATTCCGTGATTTGTGTATAGAGTTCACAAGGAGGGTTGGAAAGAAGGTGAGTCTCATCATCATCAAGTTGTGCTTCATTAATATATAGGAATATTTCAGAATTCATATGTTCTATGTAAATTTTTAAATATTGATAATTATTTCTTAAAAACAGGAATTAATTATTGAAAAAAAAAAAAAAAATTCAGGGAAAAATAAAACAAAAATTGTAATGGTGTATTTATATCATACATCTGGCGCATATATTCTATACAGTTGTAGGGGTCGTATTTTAATATCTATTTTTAATACATTGACGATTTTCTTGGTAATTATTTATTCTTTGCGATCTGCCTTTGTTTTTTTATCGTTTTAAAAGTTTAAGTGATGTTTCTTTGGAAATTATTTAATAAGAATGGTTTTTTTGAAGGAAAAAAAAAAATAGGTTTAGAGAGTAGAGTATTTTTTATGATTGCTTAAAATAGCCGTAAATTTTTTTAGTAGGATCTAATCTCTTTACTTGTACTATACGATTTGAAACATATTTACTATATTTATCATTGATATTAATATGTATACGTGTGTGTTTTTCCGCTAGCGATCAATCGCTGCATATTTTGATCTTTGCGGGCCATTATATTAATATGAGCTGTAAATATAGGAATATTTTTAGAATTATTTATTATCTATGAATTAATTAAGTTTAACTATCTAATTCAATCACATGAAAGTTCTGCGCAAGCGAGAGATTGGAGTGCGATAACGGTAGCCGATAATATACAATCAGTGTTATATCTTGTATCGAAATTTTTAATTTTTTTGAAAATGGCGTGTAACGTTAGTAGCGATTTAATATTAGATCATTGATATTTTTTTTTTGAAACTCTTACGTAATAATATTATTAAGATTATGAAATATTACCAAATATCATGATAAGTTTTAAATCTATTACTTATTTAAGGGTAGAGAGTCTAGGCCGTGTGATTTTATATAATTATCAGCAATATCTTCTTTTAAGTCACTCGCCTCATACACACCAAAAACTAGTTTTCATAAGGCGAAATTAACATAAAGTCATAATCAGCATGTATCCAATCATACGGTAATAAAAAAAGTTCTTTGTTATTAGAAGATTTCAAAAAAACCTTGTAAAGCTAAAAATAGTTTGTGAATCCCTTAGTAAAACATAATAAATTTTTTTTTTATATATTTATATCGAAAACCAAAAGGATTTCACAACGTAAATGGTATTATTAGCAGATTATTGTCAATCAATTCCTTTTATAAATAACGCGTCATAATATTTTATTCTATAGTTAGCTCGGTCTAAATTTTAATATATAGAAGCCACTTTTTGTCCTACCTTTTAAAAAAATAGTGTGTGTTATTATTGGTTGATAGAATTTCTCAAAATTATTTTTAGTACTCGCCACCGTGAATGATTGGCAAAAAAATTTTTTGTCTCGGCATAATGGAATGTTTGTTTCTATTTCAGGAAATTTGTTCGCTAAACCAACTAATATTAATATCCCGTAAAAATCGAACTTTCGATTAAATTATTATTATTATTATGTGATACATGTTACGTTAAAAAATAAATTTTATTTAAATAATAATATGAATACAAATAATAATAATAAAATACAGTTGATAAAATTTTTTAAAAAAACAATTCATTCATTTAAATCGTTGACATTATATAAAATAATCTCCCATTCTTGTTTGCACTTGTTCTTGGAAATTTCACTTTTTAATCTTTTGACATTTCTAATTACTTGAAAATCAATATCTAAATTTTTTGCTGTGCATATTTAAATGCAATTTCCGGAGCTTTTATAGTTTATATATCAGTGATCATTGGTTCAGGTTCACCTGTTTCATAATTGTCATCATCAATTTCATTTTGACCTTTTACAATATTTACGATTTCTTGTGTTGTCATTTCTTTTCGAACAAGAAGATTGTCAATCGTAGCATATCCATTGACATATAAATGATCTTGAAACGGAAGTTGAGTGACCAAACTGTTTTGTTTATTTCATTTACTTCTGATTGATTTTCGTTAACCATCAAATTAGTTGTTGTATTTTGATTAATTATATTAGTTTTTTCCCAACTATTTTCAATCGTTTTATTGTTACTTGTTTCCAAGCATCAAGACAAAATTCAGAAATCTTTTAATCATTAACATGATCGAGTTTTCTTTTATCTTCTGGATCATTACTACTTGATTATTTCTAAACGCCTTGAAGTTTATTTTGACAAATTCATCATTGTCTATTCTGCTGTAACAATGCCTGCATAGACCTTTTCTCCACTTACACTCTTGATAAATACAAGTGAGGATATAACAGATGAACATTTGTAAGAATTTTTACAGATTAAAAGAAAAGATTTTTATTTAAGAAATGATTATGAAGGTTGATCATAATTGTTTGCGGTTAGATGGATCATTCAAACAAAAACTTAATTGTTGTCAAGAAATTAATTAAATCTTTTTAAAACACAAAGAAATAAAAAATCAACACACAATCCATGATTTTATTTCTTATTTCTCAATTATTCTTATTACTTCCACCACTGTATAATAAACAATAACAAAGGCCGTGTGATTTTATATAATTATCAGCAATATCTTCTTTTAAGTCACTCGCCTCATACACACCAAAAACTAGTTTTCATAAGGCGAAATTAACATAAAGTCATAATCAGCATGTATCCAATCATACGGTAATAAAAAAAGTTCTTTGTTATTAGAAGATTTCAAAAAAACCTTGTAAAGCTAAAAATAGTTTGTGAATCCCTTAGTAAAACATAATAAATTTTTTTTTTATATATTTATATCGAAAACCAAAAGGATTTCACAACGTAAATGGTATTATTAGCAGATTATTGTCAATCAATTCCTTTTATAAATAACGCGTCATAATATTTTATTCTATAGTTAGCTCGGTCTAAATTTTAATATATAGAAGCCACTTTTTGTCCTACCTTTTAAAAAAATAGTGTGTGTTATTATTGGTTGATAGAATTTCTCAAAATTATTTTTAGTACTCGCCACCGTGAATGATTGGCAAAAAAATTTTTTGTCTCGGCATAATGGAATGTTTGTTTCTATTTCAGGAAATTTGTTCGCTAAACCAACTAATATTAATATCCCGTAAAAATCGAACTTTCGATTAAATTATTATTATTATTATGTGATACATGTTACGTTAAAAAATAAATTTTATTTAAATAATAATATGAATACAAATAATAATAATAAAATACAGTTGATAAAATTTTTTAAAAAAACAATTCATTCATTTAAATCGTTGACATTATATAAAATAATCTCCCATTCTTGTTTGCACTTGTTCTTGGAAATTTCACTTTTTAATCTTTTGACATTTTTAATTACTTGAAAATCAATATCTAAATTTTTTGCTGTGCATATTTAAATGCAATTTCCGGAGCTTTTATAGTTTATATATCAGTGATCATTGGTTCAGGTTCACCTGTTTCATAATTGTCATCATCAATTTCATTTTGACCTTTTACAATATTTACGATTTCTTGTGTTGTCATTTCTTTTCGAACAAGAAGATTGTCAATCGTAGCATATCCATTGACATATAAATGATCTTGAAACGGAAGTTGAGTGACCAAACTGTTTTGTTTATTTCATTTACTTCTGATTGATTTTCGTTAACCATCAAATTAGTTGTTGTATTTTGATTAATTATATTAGTTTTTTCCCAACTATTTTCAATCGTTTTATTGTTACTTGTTTCCAAGCATCAAGACAAAATTCAGAAATTTGGTTATTATTACTCACTGTTGCTTCTTGATACGTTCTAATTTTCATTTTAAATAAAAAATTTGAAAATTAATTAAATTAATTTATATTATATTAAAATAAAAAAATATATTCGATTAATTAATTACCTTTAAACTATAAATTATTCCTTGGTCTAAAGGTTGTAGAATAGATGTAGTATTAGGAGGAAGAAAATGAACTTTAATATTTGATAAAATAGATGTAGTTTCGGCATTATGAGAGCTTGCATTATCTAAGAGCAAGAGTATATTTCTAACCATCTTACTATTAAACCTTTCTAGGTAATGTTTAAAGATGCTTCTTTGCATACATGTTTTAGTATTCCAATAATACCAACTGGAAGTTAATTCATCTCAAAGGTCTTGGATTTCGTGTTTATGAATAAAAAGGAAGGAAGCTTTTCTCCAGTTGAACTGCAAGTAAGCATAGCAATTATACGATCATTAAGACGTTTTCTTCCTAGAAGTGGTGCATAAGCAATTTTCCTGTTAGATTCTAACCTCCAGAATAATGCAGTCTCATCATAATTCCGTACATCATTCTTGTAAGATTTCTTGAAGTCGAAGCAATTTCATGAATAGGAGCACTCATTGATCCGCCTCTTTTTTTATAGCTATGCAAATTATTTCTGTTTTTAATTTTAGCTAACCATCCTGTAGAAGCATTAAAATTATCAATTTCAAAAATATTAGCAAGTTCTTTTGCTTTTTCTTGAAATAATTAGGACCAATTAATGTTAAATCTCTAGCCAAAAGTTGGTCGACCCATATTCTTGCTACCTCTTCAATATCAGGATAATCAGAAGTTTTATTTCTATATTGATGACTAGCACTTGAAGAACTTGCATCATAATTTAACCATTGAGAAGATTGCTCCAATATATATATTAAAAACGGATTGTGTATATATTTCATACTCTTGGGCAATATCAATTCCTTTAATATTTGGATTGGTTCTTTTTTTTTATACTTTTTTCTCTGCTTTAGTCAATATTTATTAACATTTAAATTTTAATTAAATAATTTTAGGCAACTCATTTGAATTCTCTTCTGATCTGTTTCGTTTTGGACATGTTAATATTTTTGATTTTGATTTTTATTATTATTATTACTCATCAAATTTGATAGTTTTTCAATTCCAAATCAAAGATCTTTTATACCTATTTGAAAATAATTAAGAATGAGGTCATTTATAAGATTAAAGAATGATGACTTCAGAATTAGTCATTAACAAATAACCTTTAATCATTAGCATTCGCCAAGACATAGCTAGCAGTATGTTGGATTAAATTGTGAATGTATTG